TAACCCATCCAACTCAACCTTATTCACTACACTCTTGGATATTACCTCTAAATTCATGCAATCACATATTTTTAATCAAAAAGGGAAGGGGGCCATTTCCATCGCCCAAACTCCAAAATGGGAAATGATATACGCGGGGACAGGGTAAAACTTCTTGCATTAATCAAGAAACTCTTGTTCTCAGCCACCACACACCAGGAATCGATCCAGGGAAGACATAACTCCTGCCTCTATTCACAAACCACGTAAATCGAGCGTGAGATAAGGGGAGGTCTCTAATCTTTAATAAAGCTATTAAAATTCCTATCGTAAGAGTAATCACACTGCCCTCTAGTTTTTTATAGTGAGACCTACAAGCACTTAAACCACCTCCAACACACCAAAAAAGAGTATATAAACGAGACAAGAAAAAGTTCTTGCCAAAAATTAAAAAAAAAAGGCAAGTAACCAACAATTGTTTCACCAAAAATGTTCAAAATGACTGAAAGGGAAAAGGTATCCTCAACAACATCAACAAGAAAGGTATCCTCAAGGCCCAAATCACCAACATACCCCTGGGAACCCCCTATAGAGGGAAAAACAGCCCACTCCTTAAACTATATTCCCAAATACTCCAAACAAACCACCAATCCACCACTTTCAACTTGGACTGCTAGAACGTACCTACATTGGGATTAGCCAGGAAAGCTAGTTCATATTCTTCCAATTAGTACATATCCAATATGAGCATTGGTAGAACATACAAGCATAAAAATTCCATGTTTGTTGAGTAATTCCAATGAGATTTACAAGCATCATTCTAAGAATAGCTTGTTTGAGTAATAGCAATGAGATTCCCCACTATCATTCTAAGAGTAGCTAGGATTTTTATAAGAAGATGCCATTTGTTTGATAGAAATAAAAAAGGAATCCATCAAAAATTTAAGTGGCTTAAAGCTGAAGCTGCTACTTTTTAAGTTAGAGAGAAAAAAGATAGAATAACAACAACAGGAGTGGGAGAGTCCAGGTTGAAAAGAGGATTTCCTCAATTCTTCGTCACATTCAAAACTGTCTGCCAAGGCTCCTAATTGATAAAAGTACAGAAGAAAGTAATCTTCTTTCTTTGTTGAGTACCTTTCTCACAAAAGTATAAGAACAAATGTTTAATTTCTAAAACAGATCACTTATCTTTTTAATTTTTGAGAAAATTTTCTTCAGGTGCTTGGAATTACTAATCTTTCCCAATTTTTTACCTTAATTTAATAGAAAATTGAATCCAATGATAGAACTCAATACAAATTGAACCTTGCATTCTTGAGAGCATTTCTGAACTTATACATGTCAAGCCCAACTATATAAAGCATTAAAACAAGATATAATAACACAATCAAGTCAAGAGATAATCAAAAAAATTCATTTACCCTTATTAACTTTTACTCAAGAAAGACAACGATCAACCATCTAATATTTTTTTGTGAAAACCAGTGCTCCCAAACAACAGAAGAGCAAGGAATGTTCAATTTAATGATTGAACCACTGAATGCAAGTGCATGCGAAGTAAATGCGAAATACAGTACAGAGGCACATGATAAATGGGTGAAAGAATTTATGAGCATGAAAATATCATTCACCATCCCTGCTATATCTCAGACAACAACATCTTTTAATAAAAAACGAAGTATAATAGAGAATAACAAACAATACTCCTAACTTCATCCATCTTCCAGTAGAGTGAAGAAACATTTTAGTCTCGTTCCTCTTACTACTTTTTAGGTGGTGTAGAAAAAGATAAACAAGAAAGCGTTTGAGGGGTGGGAGGTGACATTGATAGGGTTAAAGATAAATGGTAACAGACCCTGAGTTTGTTGATTAGGGGTCATCATCTTTATTCAATGCAGAATTTTGGAAATCTTATTAACATATTGATAGATATTAATATTTTGTACATGGGTTTGCACACCCATTGGTACTTGTGAATGAATCTTACCATACTATTTTTATTTTTTAAAAAAAAAAATCATCCATCTTCCAGCATCTCTTAGCAGACACCAGAAAAAGTGAGCCTAAGATAGCCTCAATTACCGTCTGCACAGTGTCATTTCTACATAAACGCCACCAGCAATCATAATATAAACAAATTGAAAATATTAACTCCACAGGCCATGACTTCTTTGACTTTTTCTGGCTTTTTGTACATTGCCTCAGAAGCCAAAGAAAACAAAGGATTATAGCTAGACATCATCAACAATCAACACCAATGACTAGTAATAATTCGAATTAAGAAAAACATCTCCAAAACTCCATTATCATCTTACATTTCTCACAAGCTCATTAAAGGCCCCTAAGTTCTCAACTGTCTTTGTCAAAGTAAACGGTCTCAAAGCACATGCCAGATAGACCCCGCAGGGCAGTTTCGTTAAAAGCCCTAAATCTTTTTAAAAGTGGGCACCAACAAGATCAATTCACCGGAAAATTTCAAAGCAAAGAACTAACAAACTGAAGGAAAAACTTAGAAATAAATGAGAAACAAACTTGCATAGTTAATCCACAAGCTGGAAAACCTGCTCTTAAAAGGAAATCTCGTCAACAAACAGCACTCAAATAATGCAAGCCGGATTCTCATAACAACAGAAAACCCAGCGGATGATCATCGCAAACCCTAAAATCTACTAAAATCCGAGACGGGTTATTTTTAAAATAAAAGCAGAGCCAGTGCGAAAACCTACTTGCAAACAAGGTAAAACCTAATTCCATCACCAGCAATTACCAGAAACACAAACATGAAATAAAAACAACCACTCACCAGATCATAACGAGTCCCGTCATAGTCGAAGGCTTCGTAATGGTTCCTCCGCCCTCGCCCTTTACCAGATACCCTAACTGACTCTCCAACGGGATGAGGAGGCTCCTCCTCCTCCTGCTGTTGCTCAACTTCCTCCCGGTTCTCCTCCTCTTCTTCCTCCCCTTTCCTTCCTTTCTTTCCCTCCCTTCCGACTTTCCCAACCACCTCCTCTTCTTCCTCATCGTCTTCATCCTCCTGTAGCTTCATTCTCTTCCGTTTCTTCTGCGACTGCACCTTCTCCAATGAATTACGTGTCCTTGGCCGCGTCGGCAACTCGTCCTCCTCGTCGCTCGTGGACACCTGGGCAAACCTCCGGTTTCCCATTTTCTAGAGTTCCAATAATCAGAGATTCAATCAAGTGATTGACAGAGTAGGGGTTTTGAGATCAGGGTGTAAACAGAGAGTTAAGAAATGATGCGAGCCCGCCAATTGCAACCTTATGAATTTGTGAATTGTGATTTGTCGTGTAAAATTTGCCATATAAAATTCCGTATTTATATTTACGGCTAGGGTTTTTGCAAATTATTCATTTTTTAAATAGTTCTCTGCTTTATTATTTGTATGAAATTATAGAAGTGTTTTAATTAAAATAATAATTAATTTTTCTATATCTTTATGTTGTATCAAATCGATACTGAAGTTTAACTTATACTTAAATTTAATTAAAGTATAATATATATATATATATCTACACTTTTTTTTTGTCTTGATCACAATAACATAAATGATAAATAAATACATATCACGTAATATACAGTAATATGATAAAAATTAATATTTATTACATCCCTCGTTCAAAATTAAATGAGCGAAGCTCCATACAATATCTTCACAACAAATATTTTATTTATATTCTATATACAACAAAAAATAATAAAACTATAAAGTTTCTTCATAATTTGCTACTCGATTTTGAACTTATTTTGAACCTATCTTACCTAAACAATTTTGAAAATTTGGGACAAGAATTCTATTATCTTAATAAAAAAATAATAGTATCTAAAACTGATATATACAAACAAATATTCACGCAGACTTGATAAAACAAATGTAAAATCTATTTTAAAGAAAAACTAATTTAAAAGACAATCATAATCATTATTATCGTAAAATATAACTTAAAAAATAATCATAATCATCATCCTTTTCATTACCAATTCCAAATATATTTTTTTTCTTTCTTATAGATACTAATCTCCAGATTTCATATACAAATTCTTTTCACATGATTAGATTTTATTTCGTTACATCATTTTCTTAAGTACTACCATATTTCAATCAAAACTTATATAATATTTTTTAAAGTCACAAACATCATTACATAACACTAATAAAAAATCACAACCACAATTACATATGTACAATTTTCCCTTTAATAGTCTTCTTTTTATATCTTTTAATATTTTATTGCACAATATCATTTTTACCAGTATCAATGAGAGCCCATGAGGGTTCCCTCTATATGCGAATGCTCAAACATTACCATATTCATTAACAATCATTGGTTGTCCCATACCTTGTTCAATATGAGCACTGCAGTCATCGGTCATTCTCATATCTCGTCCAATATGAACGTCATAATCAACAAATATCCTCATATCTCGTTCAATATAAATACCACTAAACTAATTTCCAATCATGTCTGATATGAAACTTTCTAGCCACATCTGACTAAAATTGTATCCAGAATAGGGTTCACTACATATATCACACACGCTCCTTCCCTCTCTGATACACACGAAACAGATTTCCTCGTCCTCTAATGTTCTTGTTTTATTATTTTACAAATCATACATTCCTCTAAACTAGATCCTTATTATGATACACGTACATGCATAACTTAAATGTTTGCATATTCAACCTCGTAACATGCATACACCATTCACACATCCTCTTATATATGATTTACATACATATCCATCTAAACACTAATTTACAAACATATATTTACTCTTAACTACAGCGTACATACAACCTACAGATAGAATACTGCACCCATATACATATACTATATACACATATTAACTACATATATATGCACACAAATTTAATATACACATATATTTGCCCTCATTATAACCATATTTTTGTATACTTATTCACAATTTCACATATATATATCTATTTACTCATATATATCAAACATACTTTGATGCTTATACATATCTATATATAGACAAATTGATACGAATCGGGAGTATATTAAACCCGATAATGAATATCTTTACACTTGGAAACAACTCATTGGAAAGGTAAATCAGAGTTACTAAGTCTTTTACCAAATTCAATTTGTGAAAGAGAACTTTTGAGTAAATCTGTAACCCAAATTCAACAATTGAAAAGAATCTTAGAACAAACTATTTACAAAGTAATTAGCTTTTCTCGTAGAAACTCTGATTCAAACAAAAATCAAAATAAGAGAAAAATCTCTTTTAAAAAATATTGCATTAAGCAACTTCATGTATCAACTCGTCTGTATTTACAAAAGAGAATATTACGTATTTATAAATGGACAACCCTCAAGGATAAGTTTCATGATGTGTAAGAGTCAAAACTTTTCATATTACTAAGTAAATATTTTTATTTAATAAAAAAAATAAAAGTCTGGATACAATAAATAAAGACAACATGATCAAATTTATCTAAGTTAGAATTCGTTCTAAACTTTTAGAGCCAATTATCTATCTGATAAAATTTGAATTTGGACTATCTTTCTTCATGAAAGTTGTAGGTCCAAATGTGTAAATAAGCTTAGGATTTTGAATCACCTAATTTGGACATCAGAAGTCCAAGTTATGACTCATCTAAATAAACTGGTTCAACTTCATATTGGGCTTGTATAACTTCCACTTGAGTTAATATGACCAAGTTTTGATTTATATTATTTAGCTCAAGTTCGATACATGTTTCCTCATTGCATTCTTGAATTTTGTTAATGTCATTCCACAAGTCTTGAATCATCCCGTTTAATGTGTCATTGAATTTCTTCTTGCTATTGTAATCGGACCATTAAGTAGTTGAATTGGATCAATGTTCTTATATCCTGACTTATTTGCATCATTTAGGTATGCACCTAGTTTAGGTATTTACCATCATATACGCACTAACCATTGCATATATATAAACTATAAGTACATAATACATATAAATATATACAATACTAACACACATACATGTTATTATATATATGTCTATTACATATAGATTTTTATACTTATAAACTATGTTACACACATTTGAATGCATATATATATATATATATATAAAGCACACATAATTACAGTATTTATATATATGTTATACATACTTACGTATTTATACATATATGTACACAGCTTACATTACAAATTTGCACACATACATACATTGTCATACATATTCACAAAACATATCAGCACCCAAATCCATATATTTATGTATAAATATAGCACTTACACAGTCAACATATACATGATAATTTTTCTTTTTCAGAAAATACATTCCAAAGCAAAACTTTAAAATAATCTATCAATTTATAATTAATCATCTTAAAATTAATAACCTATTTTATAAAAATACAAAATCTCTAAATAATATTATCTAATTCTTACCTCAAACTTGATCGAAAAAGATACAAAAATTCTTACTGGGTTCTAGTCTATAGTCATCTATAATTTCAATTACCGTCTGAATATTTTCTTCATTTACAAATAAAGAATATGCGTATTAAACAATAATTACTTTAAAAAATAAATATAATACAAAAGAATAACATAATTTTACTTTGGACACAAAGTCTCGGTCATTAAAGTCACCACGTGCCATTACACATGCAGCCACATGTGTGCCACCAGAATCGTAACGCGCCACCATGCACTGACTCATGCACGACCACTTGTGCCAATGCACGTGCCACAAAAACCATCCACACGTCTCATGCGCCAAACCAAGAATCATCATAGAAATCGTCAGTGATTTAAATCTGGGACGGATCTACTCCGAGAATCCCGCACGCGCTGCTCCTCTCCCCGAATGGCCCGATGCATCGATGCCCATATCTGGTCACCGCTCTTCTTATTTGACAGTCTGGTATCATGCACCAACACAGATTCTGCCGCATGTCTTCCTTCTCTGGTTGCCACATGGCATGCCTTACACACGGGTCTGGAAAAACATGCACATAAATTGGTTGTCAATATATTTCTCTTTCCCACGTGGATCTGGTCGCATAAGGGGACGGATCTGCCTCTATTTTTTTATCACGACCTTCCTCTCGCTTAGTCTCACACATAGTTGACTCCCTCTCGATTTTCAGCCTCCTTCTTCCTATGCTCATGGTTGTTGCTCCTTTCTGCTAGGGTTTCTTTGTAACACCTAAATTTTATTATTTTTATTTTTTAATTTATTTTAATTTAAATTTTTAATATTTAATTTATAAGGTTTTAATTTAATTTAATTTAATTTAATAAAAATAAAAATAATAATAATGATAAAATATGGTAAAATTATTTTTAGGATTTAATTGAAATTGATTTTGAAAAAAAGTGGTGAAAATTTAGATTATATGGGTGTTTTTGAAAAGAAAATCAGAAACTGGGGGTCAAAATGTAATTTAGGAAAGTTGTGCAACATCAGCAGCCCCGACATACCAAAACACGCCGCGTGGCAATGAAGTTGACGCGGGACGTAGCCACGTGGGCGATCCGCGTGCACGCGATCGAACAATCCAGATCTCACGCATGCGGACTGCCCAGATCTCACGTGCACGGACGACCCAGATTGAATCACGCACGGACGGTCCAGATCGCATCGCGATGGACGGTCTAGATTTATTCCCATTTTAATCGCGATCGGACGGTCCAGATTAAATCGTAATAAACAACTGAGATTAAAAGGGAAAGGTTATAAATAACATCACCTACACCCAACCCCAAACCCTAGCCGCCAGTACCCTCGCCGGAGAAGAAGAACCAGTCACCGGAGGTGCCAGTCGCCGCCAGTCGCCGCCTCACCGGAGGGTTTTTTGACCACCAAACGAGGTAAATTTTTCCCCTTTGGCTCGTTTTTCTATGTTGAATCTGTCTATGGCCAAATCGGAGCCAAACCGCCGGCCAATCGGCCGAAAAACACCGCTGAAGTCCAGCGGCTCCGCCGATAAGTCTCGGTTCCCTCAGTTTTGCCTCCAATGAGGCCCTTTTCGCTTCCCGTTCGATGCAATTTTTATACCACTGTGATCACCGTCCTTTTCTCTACAGGTTGACCGGAGCAAAACATCAAATCACGACTCGTGCCAGAGAAGCCGCCGCACCCAAGAGCTCCACCGCCGGTAAGTCTCGGTTTTTCGTGATTTTTTAGTCCATCGAGGATCCTATGGTTGTTTTACCACATGAACCAATGCAAATTTGGCCGAATTCGATCGAAAATGGCCAACCCGATGCGGATCGCTGCCGCGGGTGATGGTGCCGTCGCCGGAG